TTAAAGCCTTGCACCATATCTTAGGTTGCGCTTCCGTGAAGAGTCAAGCGGCTCCAATTGCTTTTGTAGACAGGAAGTCTGTGTAGACACCAACGCTGATGCCTTTGTGTGGGTGTGTTTGGGTGTGATTGTGTTGCTTCCCCGTTTCCTGGAATTTGCCAGTTAGGCCACGCTGTCAGCTATTTTTTTCCCCCCTTTTGTTTTCCCACCGCCGCCTCCTCCTCCGTTTACTTCTCGCTTTGCGCAAAGCCCTGTCGAGTTTAGAAAAGTGACCACATCACTTTGTGGCGGCGTGGTCACCTTTCCCCTGGAAACCCTTCCCCCGAATTACACCCACACCCACCAAAAACATGCAATCCTAGGTTGCGCTACCAGAGATAGACTCAAGGTCACATGAGATACTACTACCGTTTTGTAAAGCCTTAGTAAGGCCGCATTTGAAATATTTGCATCCAGTTTTTGTCGCCACGGCGTAAAAACGACGTTGAGACTCCAGAGATTGTGCAGAAAAGAGCAACAAAGAGGATTAGGAGGCTAAAACGTGGGAAGAACGGTCGCAGGAACTGTTTATGTCTCGTTTAATGAAAAGAAGGACCAGGAGTGACTTGATAAATGTGGTTATTCAGGGCAGCAATCAATGCTGAAGTCTGGAACGAGGCCGGCTTTATTCAGGCTTGTGGTATCAATACTCATTGTTTGCTATGAGCGGCCAGTTCCTTGGTCTGCAGTGGTGTAATTACTCTTTGGTGTAATTCAAATGCTTCCCCAAATATTTGCTGCCAACCGAGCAAGGTTCTCTCATTCTTGGAAGTTTTCTTTAGGATTTTCTTGGAGTTCTTCAAAGGCCCGAGGGATGAGATGGGCTTTACAGAGTTTTCTAGCTATTGTGTGAAGACACGTATACCCGGGCACCCAGAAGTGTTTTCTAGCTATTGCGTGAAGACACGTATACCCGGGCGCCCAGAAGTCTTCCCATTAACAATAACAGGGTAAGCCGCTAGTATAATAAAAGAGTAACCCCCTCCCACCATGTAACAAAAAAAAAAGCAACTGGGATGATTAGGGGACTGAACGATGGACGGTTGCAGGACCTGGGCCTGGCTAGTCTAGGGAAGAGAAAGACCAAGGGAGACAGGAGAGCAGTCTTCCAATATTTGAGGGCGGGGGGTTGGACTAGATGACCTACAAGGTCCCTTCCAACTCTATTAATCTGACTTTAATCTGATTTTAATGGACAAAAGGACCAGGGGAGACAGGAGAGCAGCTTTCCAATATTTGAGGGGCTGCCCCAGAGAGGAGGAAGGGGGGTCAAGCTATTCTCCAAGGCACCCGAAGGCCAGACAAGGAAGAATGTAAACTGAACAAGGAGAGATTCAACCTTGGAAATAAGGAGAAACTTTCTGACAGGGAGAATAATCCACCCGTGGAACAGAAGTTGCCTTTGGAAGTTGTGGGAGCTTCATCCCTGGAGGCTTTCAAGAAGAGACTGGACTGCCCTCTGTCAGAAATGGTGTAGGGTCTCCCGCTTGGGTGGAGGGTTGGACTAGATGACCTACAAGGTCCCTTCTAAGTCTGTTATTCGATATTCAATGGAACAAAAGTTGCCTTCGGAAGTTGTGGGAGCTTCATCGTCACTGGTGGCTTTGAAAAAGAGACTGGGCTGCCCTCTGTCAGGAATGGTGTAGGGTCTCCTGCTTGGGTGGGGGGTTGGACTAGATGACCTCCCAGACTGTTATTCTGTTCTGTTCATGTTTTGCATAAGGAACACACACACACACACACACACACACACACACACACACACACACACACCGCAAAATCTCCTCCCCTTCCTCTGGGTCATGTTAATGCGGTGGGTAACTTTCACATTCTCGCAAGCTTCCTTCATTCTCCCTTGTAGCCTTAAATTTACTTTTCTTGCGGGGTGGAGAGAATTTTTTTAGTCCTGTGGTTTTTTTATTTATTTCTCTCTCTCTCTCTCTCTCCCTCTGAACCGCATGGAAAAAATAAAAAAATCCCCTCCCTCGATCCGCTCCCAGTTAGAGAAGAAAGGAGCGGCAGCTGGCAGAGAGGCCTTTTTTCGCCCCCGGAGAGGCCTGTCCCAATTTGACTTGATCCAGAATGCCAGCGAGGTAGAAATGCGCCCCCGGGGGCCTCGTTCCAAAATTCGTTGGCAGCGGTGGGCGTTGTGCGAGTTCCCAGCCATCGTCATCCTCGAAGGCGTTCTGCGTACCCGAGCCCCGTCCTGCACCCCCGTCCTACCACGGCACCCCTCCTGCTTCCTTCAAGGGAGCCAGGACATTGGAGGGGGGAGAGGTTGGAGACCTTGCAGATTAAATACAGGTTAACGGAGTGGGGAGGGACCTTGGAGGTCATCTAGTCCAACCCCCACCCCCTCACCCAAGCGGGAGACCCTGCACCGTTTCTGACAGGTGGCAGTCCAGTCTCTTCTTGAAAGCCTCCAGGGAGGAAGCTCCCACAACTTCCAAAGGCAACTTCTGTTCCATGGGTGGATTGTTCTCCCTGTCAGAAAGTTTCTCCTTATTTCCAGGTTGAATCTCTCCTTGGTTGACTTCCATCCGTTGCTTCTTGTCCTGCCTTCAGGGGCTTTGGAGAATAATTCGAGCCCCCTCTTCTCTGGAGAGGCCCCTCAAAAATGAGAATATTGCTATCATCTGCCCCCTGGTCCTTCTTGGCTCTCGATTAGCCAAACCCAAATCCTGCAAGCTTCCTTCATATGTTTTTGAATATGTGCAGCTAGAGCGCACTGGTTAAAATGCAGTTCTGTTAATCAACTTCAGAGCTTTGGAAAATAGGTTGAGTTGAGTTGAGTTGAGTTGAGTTGAGTTGAATTCTTTATTGGCCCAGTGTGATTGGACACACAAGGAATCTGTCTTTGGTGAAAATGCTCTCGGTAGACATAAAAGATATACATTCATCAAGAGTCAAGAATCATCAGGTACAACACTTAGTAATAGTCACAGGATACAATAAGCAATCAAATCCTACTAGGAAACAGTCAATGAAAATCGTAAGGACACAAGCGACAAAGTTACAGTCCTACAGTCCCAAGTGGGAAGAGATGGGCGATAAGTGAGTGATGAGAAGATTAATAGTAATAGTAGTGCAGATTTTGTAAACAGTTGGACAGTGTTGAAGGAGTTAGTTTGTTTAGCAGAGGTTCAGGGGAAAACTCCCCTTGTGTGTTTACTTCTGGTGTGCAGTGCCGTATAGCGCCGCTTCAAGGGAAAGAGTTTGAAACAGTTTACGTCCTGGATGTGAGGGGTCCGTAGATATTTTCACAGCCCCCTTTTTTGACTCCTACAGTATATACAGGTCCTCTGTGGAAGGCAGGTTGGTAGTAATGGCTTTTTTCCACAGTCCTAATGCCTCTCTGGAGTCTGTGTCTGTGTCCTGTTGGGTTGTAGACAGCCAAACCGGACCGTTCTAGAAGTGCAGAGGACAGACAAATGCTCCAACACTGGGAGTTTTTAAAGCAGAGATTGGAGAAAGACCTGTCAGAGGGGACCATTCTACACCGACCCCCAATTTAATCCTGTCTTGGGGGCTGCTCAGAAAAAGGAATTCAGCCCCCCAAACCTGCCGAGCAGCTGTGTGGCGAAAGCGCCTGCGGCGGGGGGGGGGGCGGGGGGGAAGAGAAAAGTCTATTTTTATGGTGGTTTGGAAATTTCCTCTTGCAGCTTCACGTGCCCTGTGGAAATCTCCTCTCCTCCTTCCTCCTCCTCCTCCTCCTCCTCCGCTTCTTCTTGCAATCGGCAGAGCACAAGGACGGCCACGCCTAGCAAAGACAGGAATCCGTGCGGCTTCTCAGAAGGAAACCCAAGTTAAGGAATCTTAATTCAAGAAGAAAGACGGACAGTTGGCTGACCGGTCAGGTTGAAGCGGCCCTGGGAGAAGAGCCAGTCCCCCCAAAATTAAAATTAAGTCAGCCCTCCGAAGGGGGGTCTTTTTTTTTTTCCGACCAGATGCAAAGCTGATAGTCCTTGCCGCTGACAAGAGAACTGGGATCTTGGCAGCTGCTGTTGCAGTGGGTTCGCTGGAAAGATCAACGTGGTTTTTCCCCCCGGGGGGCTTGGCAGAAGAAGCACCTTTTGGGGCCGCCGTCCTGGCCTTGCCCCCAAAATTTGCCGGGAGGGGAACTCGGGAGGACCATGCCGCACAACATGTGAGTGTGCCGTTTGCTGCTCTTCGGAGCCCGTTTTGGCCAGCATGTCCGCAAAAAGAGGTTGCATAACCTAAAGGACAGCTTGCCAAAGGCTGCCGCTCAAGGAGTTGGGCTGTGCCGGGTTCGAGGGATGCCGGCTGCCTCCAGATTGCCATGTTTTTGGGGCGTGGGGTGGGGTAGGGGGCTGCCTTCGGAGTGAGGCCGATTTGTCCTTCCCGATACCGAATTTCCCTACCTGGGCGACTTACGGAGAGGCAGCTGAGCGAAACTCTGGGCTTCGACCCCCAGAATTCCAGGCTCAGGCCCCCATTTTGGGGGGGTGGGCTATATTTGCCCCCCACTTCTCTGTTTTGTGATTCATATGACGGGTGGGGGGGTGAAAGAGAGGAGTCCTGGGGAAATCTGGGGAAATCCATGGGTCTGGGACAGGTTTGGTGTGCTGGGCGTGGGCTCTGGAGTCCTGGGCTGCATTTGAAAATGGGGGTTTCTGTGTTTTGCTCTTTTGGGGGGCCCCCCTTGGCTTTCCAGTGGCTTTCACCCACTCTTTTTTTTTTCTCTCCTCCTCCTGGACTTTTATTTGCGTTTTGCGTTCTCGTAAAGTCTTCGTAGAAAGAGAATATATTTCTCACCAGAGCTGCGAGCCGAATCTGTAACTTCGGGTGTCGGAATGGCTTGTATCTTATCAGAAAAGGGGAAAAAGGTGGAGGGTGTGTAACTCTCTTTTTGTGTGATTCAAAATCCTTTCCTTCTTTCCTTCCTTTCCTCCCCTTCCCCCTTTTTCTCCTTCCCTTTCTTTTCCTTCTTTCCTTCCTTTCCTCCCCTTCCTCCTTTTCCTCCTCTCCTTTCTTTTCCTTTTCTTTTCCTTCTTTCCTTTCCTTTCCCTCCCCTCTCTTGCCCTCCCTTTCCTTCCTTCCGTCTCTTTTTCTTCTTTTCCTTTCCTCCGTCTCTTCTTCCTTGCCTTCCTTTCCATTTTATGCTACCACAAACTCAAAATAAAACCAAAATAATCGCTCCTGTTACAGAAATAGCTGTTCTCTTTCAAAGGCGCAAAATGTCAAGGCCATCACTGTAATTTTTTATTTCACCGCAGGAAAAAAAATAAAAAACCCCAAACAAAACGGAAGTTATTTCTTTTCCTCTTTCTGTTTTTAACCTGAAATCCTTTCTCCATCCCCCCCTCTATTCTATATGACCATAAATTCTAATTTAAAAACTCTTAAAAAGATAAGAAGAAGGAGGCGTGAGAGAGGCTGTGTCAACTATCGATTTCTGCCACGCACCTGGTTTTGTATCACCTAACGTGTGTGTGTGTGTGTGCCTTTTTTTGCGCTGCCACAATCCAACACAATTTGGATTTCTGTTCCTTATCTCGGTGTGACCATTCCTCGTCCTCTATTTAAGACGTAGCTCAGTTTTTGAGAAACGGAACCAACCCTTTTTTCTCCCGGTTTTCCCTTGTGGCTGTTTTGTAGTTGTATTGACCTGTTGTGTCAACAGCCTCCCTCTGCCTGTTTCCCACCGACCTTTTCGTGGTGCTTCTGGGTCCACTCCCTTTTTCTGTCTTGCACGGGCGGTCCCCGACTTACGACCAAACCGAGCCCCCGACGTTTCCCTTGCTTAGCGAGGCCGTTGTTAAGTGAACTCTGGCCCCCATTTCACGGCCTTTCTGGCCACGGTGGTGAAGAGAATCCTTGCAGTTGTTAGGTGAGTGACATGGTTGCGAATTCAATCCGGGTTCTCCATTGTCTGAAGGTCGCAAAAAAATGGGGGAACCGCGTGATCTTGGGACATGGCGCCCGACCTAAGTACATGCCAGTTGCCAAGCGTTTGAATTTTGATCGCATGATTGTGGGGATGCGGCAGCGGTCTTAAGCAGGGGTGGGATTCAAACCTCTTAACCACCAGTTCTGTGGGCGTGGCCTAATTTGTGGGCATGGCTTGATGGTCACGCGACTGGCTGGGCGTGGCTTGTATGTAAATATTGTAAACATTTATGTAAATATTTAATCTTTTATTTTAAAAAAGAGCAACTTTTACCCCAAAATCAGGCAAAGCAGGCAGGCAGATTGAGTAGCTCACAGAATCATAGAGTCAACTCACAGATCTATCTTTCCGCAATCTGCTGCCTGAGTCTGTCACACAAAATTTGCTTGCAAGCAAACTCACACAATTAACTCACAATACACCATGTACGTAAATATTGAATTGTTTTACTTTAAAAAGAGCAACGTTTATCCAAAATCAGGCAAAGCAGGCTGGCAGATTGAGGTGCTCGCAGAATCTCAGATTCACTCAGAGGTCTATCTTTCTGCAATCTGCTGCCTGAGTCTGCATTCGGTCGTAAGGAAGGTTCAGCTCTGCTCTCGGGCCACTTCTCCCCAGCCAACTCCCTGAATACCACCCCTTATTGGGGCCTCAGGGAAGCCTCCTGGGCGACGGCGAAGCACTACAACAGTGATTTAGATTAGCTAGAAAGCAAGAAACTGACAATTTCCTGCTTTCTAGCTAATCCAGATCTCATGGCACAGCTGATAGTCGGAACAGCTGATAGTTGGAACAGCTGATAGTCGGAACAGCTGATAGTCGGAACAGCTGATAGTCGGGGTGGGGAGGAAAAATAGCAACTTACCAAAAATTACGCAAAGGCACAACACAGGCAAGTTGAATGGCACGCATGTGAGATAAGGACTGACCGGGTGGGGAGGGGAGGGGGGCCGGGGCCAGCCAGCGTCGCGATTTGCCAATTGTCCGAACTGCACAGAATTGTAACAACCAGTTCTATAGAACCAGTCTGAACCGGTAGAATCCCACCCCTGATCATAAGGGTTAAAAGCAGTCCTAATTCCATTTTTTTTTCAGGGTTGTTGCAACTTCGAAAGGTCCCTAAACAAACAGTCATATGTCGAGGAGTAACTATATCCTCCGTTTTTTTTGTTTGTTTTCGTTTTAAGAACAGTGGAGCTGCATTGAACAGATGGGGGTGTAAACCTCCTACTCCAGGAGTTTTGAATTCTCTCACCGAGTGGTTTTTCCTGTTTGTTTTGTGGTTTCTCTGCAGACCATCCATGAGCTCAGATTTCCAGCATTATAGTTTCAGGATGCCAAACATTGGATTCCAAAACCTGCCTCTCAACATATACATCGTGGTCTTCGGCACGGCGATTTTCGTCTTCATCCTCAGTTTGCTTTTCTGCTGCTATTTGATAAGGTAAGAAACAAAAAGGCCCCTCTCCTTTTTGTGCCCGGGGGGGGGGGGGGGGGGGAACGTAGTTTATTCAAAGACAGTTAAGGAAGTTTAAAGATTTCAAGATTTAAAGTTAAGAAAGTTTAAAGATTTTTAAAGAGCGTACAAGGTAGTCCTCGACTTACGATCACAGTTGAGGCCAAACTTTATGTGCTGCCGAGTGGAAAAAAAAAAATTCTTAAATGAGTTTTGCTCCCAGTGACGACTTCCTTTGCCGCATTTGTCAAGTGAATCCCTGCAGTTGTTAAATGAGGCACTCGGTTGTTAAGTGAATCCAGCTTTCCCAATTGATTTTGCTCGTCAGAAGGGTCGCCAACGGGGACTGCGTGACCCCGGAGACACTGAAAACCATCATAAGTATGAGCCAATCACGTGACCCTGGGAATGCTGCAACAGTTGTAAGAGTGAAAAATGGTCATAAGTCACCTACGTCGCAAAAGGAGATCACACCATCCCAGTGTCACCTCATCAAACATTCCTATGCCTGTTTTAGTAGTTGCCATAAAGAAAAAAGTGAGATTTGGAAGAGGAGTGCAGCAAAGCGAAAGTACATTCCAACTCTTTATCTTTAAAAGATTGTAACCAAAATACCAGAGATTTTACCCAAAAGTACATTCCAACTCTTCTCTTTAAAAGGTTGTGACTAAACTACCAGAGCTTTTGCCCGTGAATATATTTAATTGGAGAACATGAATGGGGACACTTAGCCCGTGAAGGTGCTCAGTTGGAGAATGTGATTGATGACACACCCAGGGGGAAGAGGGGGAAACAGGGTCCCAGGGGACTGTAAATGACGTAGGCCAGAGTTGGCTTCATCCAGGGCAGGGCCAGGATGTCGCCTCTAATGAATCCTTGGAAGTTTTTTGAAGTTTGGCTCGAGAATCATGATTTCATTAGGGCGATCGCTGGAATCCTGACACCCAGAACACTGCAACCCTCATAAATATGAGACAGTCGTTAAGCATCCAAATTTTGATGCAACCGTTGTGTAAGAAAAAAAAAACATCAAAAGTCACTTTTGTCCCCCACTGCTGTTGTAACTTTGAACGGTCACTAAATGAACTGTTGTAAGTCGAGGACTAGTCATTACTTCCTGTTTAAAAATCGCAAATGCTGATTTAAGCTTAAGTCATGAGCCGGCCCTCTTCCAACATTTAAGCAAATTTGTTAAGGAGGCTTACTTGAGCTCAGGAATGTTCGAATGTTTGGCTCAGCTACTTGTCTTCCCTCTTCACATTCTTGAGGATGAGTGAGCACTTGTTCAAAATTCTTGAGTTGGCAAGTCCTCATAGTCTGTCTCCAACTTGTTCAGGACCTTTGGTCACTTGGAGAAAAATGGCCGTTGGTCTTCGATCTAACCCAAAACCTGGGTCTCATTGCAAAGTTAGTCTGGGGTCTCATTGCAAAATTGCGTAGTTAGTCTTGGGTTTAATTCTGGGTCTCATTGCAAGGATAGTTTTAGGTCTTAATTGCAAAATTGTAAAGTTAACCTTGAGTTTCATTGCAAAGTTATCCTTCGGTTTAATCCTAGATCTTGGGTCTGTTTGCAAAGTTAATCTTGAAAACTGGCAGTTGGTCTTGGATTTAACCCAAAACCTGGGTTTAATTGCAAAGTTAGTCTTGGGTCTAATTGCAAAATTGCAAAGTTAGTCTTGGGTCTAATCCAAAACCTGGGTCTAATTTGGTCCCCGCACTATAATAAAAGATGTTGCGACTATAGAAAAAATGCAGAGAAGAGCAACCAGGAGGATTAGGGGACTGGAGGCTAAAACATACGATGGACGGTTGCAGGAACCGGGCCTGGCTAGTCTAGGGAAGAGAAGGACCAGGGGAGACAGGAGAGCATCTTCCAATATTTGAGGGGCTGCCACAGAGAGGAGGAAGGGGGTCAAGCTATTCTCCAAAGCACCTGAAGGTCAGACAAGAAATAATGGATGGAAACTGACCAAGGAGAGATTCAACCAATAAGGAGGAATTTTCTTACAGAAAAAGGAACCAAATTAAACAGAAGTTGCCTTCAGAAGCTGTGGGAGCGCCATCCCTTGAGACTTTCAAGAAGAGACTGGATTGCAATCTGTCAGAAATGGTGTAGGGTCTCCTGCTTGGGCGGGGGGGTTGGACTAGATGACCTACAAGGTCCCTTCCAACTCTATTATTCTGTTAATTGCGAGGTTAGTTTTACCTCCAGTTGCAGAATTGTAAAATTAAATCTTGAGTTTTATTGCAAAATTGCCAAGTTATTCTTCGGTTTCATCCTAGGTCTGATCCCCAGGTCTAATTGCAAAGTTAGTCTTGGGTCTAATTTCAGAATTGCAAATTACTCTTAGGTTTAATCCAAATCTAATCCCACCTGCTCGGGAGCACCTGGATCATCGCTTTGGGGGAAAATTGCCTAGTTAGTTTTGGATTCATCCAAGCTTTGTCTCATGAGGAAGTGCAAATGGGTGGGGTTTTTTTTTGGAGGGGGGGGCAGGATTTTAGCAGGGGTCAAACTCTTCCTCTGGAAAAATGATGAAAAACTTCTACCTTTGCCTCTGGTTTGCCAAGTCCCACGTTCTGGTGTTTCGAAGCCGAGGGGTTGAAGCAAGTGTTGGTAGCACAGATCAGTACCCTTCCTTCCTTGCTTCAGAGTCAGTCCAGTAAGTTGTGCTCGCGGAGTGTACAGTTGCACAACAGGGAACCTTCAAGGTTTAGCCAAAGCCAGTTCCTCCCCGGTGGAACCGATGAGGAAGCACAAAGGAAACCCGTGTTCGCTTAGCACAGGGCTCCCCAAATTTGGCCACTTTTAAGACTTGTGGATTTCAACTCCCAGAAGTCCACAAGTCTTCAAGCGGCCAAGTTTGGAGACCTCTGGCTTAGCAGATAGAACAGACAAAGAATGCAAAATTTCACTGCATCCTAACCCAGATGGTGTGCAGGAGGCTAATGGCTTGGGACTTGGGTGACTGACATCGTGGGCCCTGCTCGTTCTGGGAAACCCAAGAGAGAAAAACTTGAATCCTTCCCCAAATGGATGTCAGCTCCACGGGCCCCTGGACGCCTCTCTTTTTGGGGCCAGTTTGGAGATAAGGATGGGCTTTCTCCGTTAGAACTTTGGAAAGCATGCAAGGAGGAAGTGAAGCATGAAACTGTTCTCAGATAACAGATAATCAGAGTTGGGTGACTCTTGTAGGTCATCTAGTCCAACCCCCCCCCACCCAAGCAGGAGACCCCACACCATTTCTGACAGGTGGCAGTCCAGTCTCTTCTTGAAGGTCTCAAGGGATGAAGCTCCCACAACTTCTGAGGGCAACTTCTCTTCCATGGGTTGATGGTTCTCACTGAAGGTTGTAGGACGTGTAGGTGAGATGATGGTTGTTGGTCTTGCGGGCGGGTTGGGTGTTTTAGTCTTCGCTACCGTAGGGTTTTGGGAACCTTCTTGAAGTTGATGGGAGCAGTGTTGAAGCAGAAGAGGGGAGAAAAAGAGAAGGTGATGGAGGCGAGATGAAGGAGGAAAGGAGATGGAGAAGAAAATGGAGATTGAAAAGGAGGTGGAAGATGGCGATGAGATGGAGATGAAGGAGATGGAGAAGATGAGACAGAGATGAAGGAGATGATGATGGAAACAAGGTGGAGATGAAGGAGATGAGATGCGGAAGCTGATAGAGATGGAGAAGGAGATGGAGATACAGATGGAGAAGGAGAAGATGAGATGGTGATGGAGATGGAGATACAGATGGAGAAGGAGAAGATGTGGGTGAAGGAGATGAAGGAGATGGAGATGATGGAGATGAGATGGAGAAGGAGAAGATGAGATGGAGATGGTGATGAAGATGAAATGGAGATGAAGGAGAAGGAGATGATGGAGATGAAATGTGATGGAGAAGTTGATAGAGATGGAGATGGAGATACAGATGGGGAAGGAGAAGATGAGATGGTGATGGAGATGAGATGGAGAAGGAAATGAAGGTGAAGGAGATGGAGGTACAGATGGAGAAGGAGAAGATGTGGGTGATGGAGATGAAGGAGATGGAGATGATGGAGATGAGATGGAGAAGGAGATGAAATGGAGAAGCTGGTAGAGATGAAGATAGAGATGGAGATGAGAAGGACAAGATGAGGTGGTGATGGAGAAGGAAACGGAGATGAGATGGAAACGCAGGAGACGAGATGGAGGAGAAGCTGAAGGTGAGATGCAGAAGGAGACGGAAATGAAGGAGATAACAACGAGGAAGTGATGGGGCGAGGAGATGGAAAAAGAGACGGAAGGATGTTGGGTTTTGTTCATGGGGTTCCAACCTAGAATTTGGAAGGCCCCAATCCCAAAGTTTCAGGTTCAACCCTCCGCGTGTTGCAGCTCACAAGACCGAGGAGCAGGCGGTCAGCGGGAATCTTTCAAAAGCAACCTCTGAATTAACCCTCTCGGGTCCAACCCAGATGCTCAGCTTGGTCTCTTCTGTGGCAAGTGGCCCTGTGCCCCCGTAACTGCAACCTGGTCCCTCTTTTCATGAGCCTCTTTACCTATTCACAAGAGTTGCGGTTATTTCCTCACAAGATCTGTGCCCAAAACAGCAGGTTCTGCTTAAAAAAAATAAGAGACCACTGAATTCTGCGTTAAGGTCTGAAACAAAACCGGCACAGAGGCTTTCTTTACAAATGTCGTTTAAAGCAGACAGTCCTCTCTCTCCCTCCTATCTCAACCTACGATCTCAAACCGCTTCGTACGTCTGTGGTACTCCGAAGCCCATTATGCTCGTTATTCCCTCAGCTCCTTTTTTGCAGCGTTCAGTCACGCTGACGCTTTCCCCTTTATCCTCCTCCTTTGTCTTTCCAAAGCCGAGTGACTCACCGGATTTACTTAGTGGAATCTTTTCTTGATTGTTCTCCCAAGATCATGTCGACGACGACGTCGCGCCAGGTGCAGAGAAGGTTTTGATGTGCCAGGCGTGGCCGTTTTTGTCCCAGAGAGATGTTTTTGGGGTGGCGTGCGCATGCGTCCGCGTTTTTAATTCACGGAAGGTGGGCGGGGGGTGGGGGCGGGGAGGAAACCAGAGCTATAACTTCCATTTACACCGAACACCCGAGCTTCGTGGATAGGAAATGTTTGGTATTTCGTTGGGCCGCCCTGTCACCCGAGATAAGAAAGTTAGGAGGTTGTTTCCTTGCAGACGTCTCGTGACCCAACTAAGTAACATCATCAGCTCCACAAGGGAGTGATGTTTGTGGAGAGGAAGGGGAGGAGGAGGAGAGAGGAGAGGAGAGGAGGAGGAGGAGGAGAAGGAGGACTATGGGGTCCTTGGTGCTCTCTGAGCTGAAGTTGTTTTCTTGCAAACGTCTCATGACCCAACTAGGTAACGTCATCAGTGCCAGAAGGGAGGAGGGTTTGCAGAGACCAGGGAGGGGGAGAACGGAGGGCGAATACCTGTATTTTGTGTGTGTTGGCTTGTCTCTGTGTGTGTGTCTCCTTTTACATATATATATGTATGTATATTTCTTTTTGCTTTCCAGATTAAGACATCAAGCTCATAAAGAACTTTACGCCTACAAACAGGTGAGCCCGGTTTAATTTTCCTTTATCCAGGCAAAAGGGGGGTAAATTCTCATTATTTGCATCAGTTATGCTCTAATGCAGGGGGGGGGTCCCTAAACTTGGCTACTTTGAACACGTGTGGATTTCAACTCCCAGAATTCTCCAGCCAGCAGAGGATTCTGGGAGTTGAAGTCCACACGTCTTAAAAATGGCCAAGTTTGGGGGACTCCTGTTCTATTGCCTTAGTAAGACCACACTTGGAATATTGCACCTAGTTCTGGATGCCACAATATTAAAAAAAAACTGTTGTTGAGACTCTGGAAAGAGTGCAGAGAAGAGCAACGAAGAGGATTAGGGGACTGGAGGTTAAAACCTATGAAGAAAGGTTGAGTGAGCTACGTATGTCTAATTTAATGAAAAGAAGGACTGGGGTGACCAGATAGGAGTCCTCCAATCTCTCAGGGGCTGCCCCAAAGAAGAGGGAGTCAAGCTATTCTCCAAAGCACCAGAAGGCAGGAGAAGCAGCAATGGCTGTTAACACGGCGTTGGGAGTCCAACACTCCGTTTGTCTTGAGACGGTATAAAAACTCCTTCTTTGGGCATAGGTTGGACTAGAAGACCTCCAAGGTCCCTTTCAGCCCTAGGCTTCTAGGAATTCGTCTCTTTCCAGAAAGGACTGGGCCATTTTAAAGTGAGCCATTGGATGACTCTGCCTTTGTCCTATAAGCAGAACAACCAAGGAGTCCTCAGTGAGGAAGCCATAGCCGTTTTAAGATTCTAAATCTTACAAACATCCTTCCATTAGTCACCTCTGGATTTCAATTTCCCAGAATTCCCGAGCCCAACATGGTGACGATTGCTGAGAATTCTGGGAGTTGTTGTATAAGGTAGACTTCCTGGTTGAGGAAAGTTCATTCGTTCATTCATTCATTCATTCATTCATTCATTCATTCATTCATTCATTCATTCATTCTAAAGACTTCAGAAAATGCTTTGCTTGTATTTTGGTTGCTTGCTTGCTTTGCATTGATAGCATTCTTCTACCAACATATTATTCTTTATTTTCAGGTGATCCTAAAGGAAAAAGTCAAAGAACTCAACTTGCACGAGGTAAGCTGGTCTCTCGGTTGCTTAAACTGCCATTGATTAAGTTCTCAGCATCTCAGGCTAAACCATAGAATGAGCGATTGAGGGAAATAGATTAGTCTAACAAGAAGGCCTAGGGGTGACACGATAGTATGTCTTTCGATATCTCAGGGGCCGCCCCAAAAGGAGAGGGAGTCAAGGTATTCTCTAAAGCCCCAGAAGGCAGGACAAGAAGCAACGGGTGGAAACTCATCAAGGAGAGAAGCAACCTGGGACTAAGGAGGAATTTATCTCCGCAATTAACTAGTGGAACAGTTTGCCTCCATAAATTCTTTACAGAATAAATAAATTCTTTACTGAACAGTTTGCTCCATCACTGGAGGTTTTTAAGAAGAAATTGGACAGCCATTTATCTGAAATGGTATAAGGTTTCCAGCATGAGCCTGAGGTTGGTCTAGAAGACCTCCAAGGTCCCTTCCAACCCTGTTATTCTATGTTCTATTTTGTTATAAGTCAAGCTCCACCTCCATTGTCACGTGAAGATCTTCATTGTAATTTAGCCTGGGTAACAGACTGTTTTTGGAGTTCATGTCCGTCTGTCTGTCTGTCTATCTATCTATCCATCCATCCATCCATCCATCCATCCATCCATCCATCCATCCATCTTTCTACCTACTATTTATCATCTATATCTACTTATCCATCATCCATTTAACTATTATTTATCATCTATCATCTATTTATCTACTATTTATCTACTATCTATCATCCATCTATCTTACTTATCTGCTATTATCATCTATCTAGATATCTACTTTTTATCATCTATCATCTGTCTTTGCTACTTATCCATTTATCTACTATTTATCTACTATCATCCACCTACTATTTATCTCTTCTATCTACTATCTATCTACTATTTATCTATCTTTTATCTATCATCTGTCATCCATCCATCTATATCATCTATATCTATTTTTTTTTAAACAATTTTATTAGTTTTTAAAGACAAACAAAACATATCTATATCTATTTTTATCATCCATCTATCATCCATCTCTCTCTCTCTCTCTCTCTCTCTCCCTACCTTCCTACTTACCTACCTACCATCCATCTATCATCCATCTATCATCTACTCTTTCTCTCACCTCTTTGTCTCTCTCATCTACCTGTCTGCTGATCATGTCTGTCTACCTGTCTTATCAAATGTAGAAACCAACCATCTCATTCCCCCTAGCAAAACGAAGCAGAATTGCTCCCCCAGAACCAGCTGGACGCATCCAGCGAACTCCCTCCTAGTTGGGTCTCCATCCAAGGAGAGACTTTAATCCTGGCGCCTGGGGTGATGTCACCACCCAGCTGACCTTGGCTCACCTGGGAGAGGTCAGGCAGGGTTTGATCTGGGGCGTTCTCAGTCAGGAAACCCTTCAGGGAAATGCAGACTCGGAACTAAGATCGGGAAGGTGGGGAAAAAAATAAACATTGTCCCAGGATAACAATGACTAGACCAGGTTCTGGGCAAAACAACCTCCAGGAGTGTTTACGTTGTTCAGTTCAGCTACAGGCTGGTTTTCCATTTTTACTCCTAAATCCGTAGCAATAGCCAGAAACCCTTTCAAAAGTAGGAATAAGAATCCGAGAAAATTCCCAGCAAGTTTAAAAACCAAAACCAGTGACTCATTCATTCCTCAGAAGTTGGGAGAAGCCCTGTTGTGTTTTCCCGACTGCCTAAGAGGTCATTTTAATGGGTTTTGCCCAGCTTTTCGATCGAAGTCATGTTATGCACGGTAGGTGTTTTTCATTGCGCAGGAAAAGAAAAAAGAGATTTTGCCTTTTTATAGACGCAGGGAGCATTTCCCTCCGAGAGAACTGTTGGAATTATTTATTGATTTTCCAGAAAATCCCTTTGGGCTGTTTTATTAACATCCCCCAATCCCTCCTTGTCCCACTTCTGTGCTTTTGACATTCCCTTGCAGACTCTGTAAAATCAGAAAAAAAGAGGAAGATTGGTTTAAGATTGGGAGGGAGGGAGGGAGGGAGGAAGGAAGGAAGGAAGGAAGGAAGGAAGGAAGGAAGGAAGGGGAAGAAGGCCAGAAGAAGCAAAGGTCAGAGAAAAGAGCAAGGGGAAGGAATTAAGAGAGGAAGGGAGGAACGAGAAAGGGAAGAGAAGGAAGCTCAGAGAAAAAGGAAGGAAGGAAGGAAGGAAGGCAGGAAGGAAGGAAAGAAGGAAGGAAGGAAGGCAGGAAGGAAGGAACGAAAGAAGGAAGGAAGGAAGGCAGGAAGGAAAGAAGGAAGGCAGGCAGGCAGGAAGGAAGGCAGGAAGGAAAGAAGGAAGGAAGGAAAGATGTATAGGATATATATATATATATGGAGCCTGGGCCATCTGTCAGCACTCAGATGGAGAGTCAACAGCCCCCAGGTCTGGAGGTGGCTGAGGAGGAAGAGGAGGAACAGCCGGGCCCAGTGCCTGACGCGCAGATGTGCAGAAGGCAGAGGAGAGGAGAGCAGTGGAAATCTATGGGCCGGTCCTTGGGGCGGAAGAGCCACTGCTGCTAGCAAAGTCCCACCCGAGCTCTGGGGATCAAAGGCAGTGGGGGGCGGGGAGGAACAGGGGTGTAACTATTCATCTCCCTGCCGGACAGACTTGTGAGCCTGAGGTGAGAGAGGAACGTTTTGCCAGGGCAATAAAGGAATCTTTTGAGTTCACTTCAGAGGGTTTGTCGTGTTTGGGGAGCCGGGTGAGAACACCCACATCTATTTCTGCACAGGCAGGATATTCTGGGTCTAACGGCCTAGCTGATAAAACGATGCCTTTTTTAAAAAAAAAAACACCACATTTTTCTTCTGCTTCTTTTTCAGATCTGTGCGGTTTGTTTAGAAGAATTCAGGCCCAAAGATGAACTGGGAATTTGTCCGTGCAAACACGCGTTCCACAGAAAGTAAGTTCCGATCGGCTAGGACATGGCGCTCCCCGTTTGGAAACATTTCAGGCTCGCGGACTTAAAATTCCCAGAATTCCCCGGCCGACATGTGACCGCGGGGAAGGTATTGGCAGCATCCCCCGCCATCACAGGATCAAAATTCGGGCACTTGGTAACCAGCATGTGTTTTATGACAAGTTTGCTGGATTCGTTTAACTACCATATGATTCACTTAACCACAGCAGTGGTTCACTTAACGGCTGTGGGGGGAAAGTCACCAGGTGGGGCCAAACTCATTTAACAACTTATCTTGCTCAGCAACAGAATTTTTTGGTGTCGTTTAATGACCTCGTAATCCCTTACGACAGGGGTGTCCAACCTTGGCAACTTTAAGACTTGTGGACTTCAAGATATTGGCAGTGATCTCAGACCTCCAAGATCGCATGCCATATCGTCGCGACGCCAGCTCCGCCCTCCTCCTCCTCCTCCTCCTCCTCCTCCTTCTCTTCTCTGTCTCTCTCTCTCTCCCTCCCTCTCTCTCTCTCTCTCTCTCTCTCTCTCGTGAGCAAAGCTGGCTGAGGAAGTCAACTCTGGGAGTTGAAGTCCACAAGTCTTAAAGTTGCCAAGGTTGGACACCCCTGCCTTACGGGGTGGAGTTGAGGCAGCCGAATGGAGCTGAGTGTTTACTGGCTGGATGCCCTTGCAGACGTATTCTCATTGTGCCCAGAGAAAGAAAAATATCTGCCTCTGTCTAGCCTCGAACTCACAGCCTCTTGATGGCGAGGTGAGAGCTCTAGGCCACCGTACCACTCCTCCTTAGCAACAAAAATGCTAGGCTCAATTGGGGTTGTAAGCTGAGGACTATCTCTGATGCTTATTTTTCTTTCTTTCTGTCTCTCTCTCTCCTGACAGATGCCTTATTAAATGGTTGGAGGTCCGAAAAGTTTGTCCTCTCTGCAACATGGCTGTCCTGCAATTGGCCCAGCTCCACAGCAAGCCGGATCACCCCGGACCGCCCCAGGAACCCCTGCCTGGCACAGCCAACATCGTATAGCTACCCGATGGCTGCCCCTTCGTCCTCCCTCACGGACTCCAATTCCCGCAGAGACTCTTCGCCGATTGCTGGGCCCGCTGCTCACGGCCTCCAAGCGTTTTCTCGGGCACCCTTTATCTCATGAAAAAAAATAAATAAATAAACCGCCCGGGACTCACCGAAGGGGGAACCAATTTCCCTCCAAACCCGACCGGATGGGAGCTGCAAGGGACGCAGGCGTGTCTCCGGTTTTGTTTTGTCTCTTCGATTTTATTTTATTTTATTTTTTCTTTTTCTACGTGCACTTTAACAAGAGTCTTGGATTCAAATTCAGGCGGCCAGCAAGAAAGAGAAAAAAACGAGAGGAAAAGAGAGAGAGAAAGGAAGACTCCGAAGATGAGAGACGCCATGGGGAGCGAGCGAGCGTCCATCTCCAGAGAGAGAGAGAAAGAGAAAAGCCGCAACGTGAGAAAATTTGCGTTTTGATTCCAGCATCTTTTCGCAAACGGCTTCAAAAGGTCCCGGAGCCGAAATCCAGCAAGAGAGAATCCTTGTTGGAAGAAAAGCCAGGATGACGATAAGATTTCGAACAACTTCAGTGCGATTTCCTGCGACTTCTGGATCGGGAAAGGGAATTCCCTCCAGAGGAAACTCCGCTCTGTTCAACGAACGAGGACGGGGTTCTCCTGGAATTGTGACTTTGGGAGAGCGGGGGGACGGTCGTGGCCGATCTACCCGAAACCTCGGGGAATACCCCGGTGAAAAGGGAAGGCGGGAAGAAGGTTCTCGCCGACGTCGGCTACTTTAGGAGACAGCAAGGAGGCCCCGATGAGGTCCCTTTCTCAGCCCGGATAAATTCCTTGGACTTTTTGTAGGGAGGATGGGACAGGCCGCGCGACCTCCGCTTCTCATTCCCCTAATGTGAATCCTTTCCCGGACGGTTTGCCGGCACAGAGAAGACGCCTGCGGAATTTGCGTGGATTTGGTTTTCTTTTCTTTCTTTTTTCTTTCCCCCCCCAATGTAAAGTGAGGTGCATTTTCGGGCCCCGGATGGAGTGTTTAAAAACGGGTTTTGCGAGAGTTACGAGCAGATTTGGGTGGCGCAGTTCCTCCGAGTAGAGAGCAACGGTTGTAAAAATATATATATCTCTTTCCAGCCCAGGCTTAGGTCGCGCGTGCTGGTTGACCAAGACGGAAAATAAATAAAATGAGGGAAAGGCAAGGAATTCTGAAAACACCCCCACCCCTTGCCTGAAATCTCGTGATATTGTCAAGAATCACGCCCCCTCCCCTCTCGTGTGAAATCAGCCAGAACTTGTCAAATGTTTTATTTCAATTATTATGGGGAAGCAGCTAGGACGGCTTCTACCCGTTGCCCTTATCATCATCATTGTCTTTTAACGACTCCATAATCCCTTGCGGGGTGGAGTCTGGGAAACTGAATGGAGCTGAGTGTTTACTGGCCGGATGCCTTTCCTATCCCCAGGGCGGGGTTATATTCAGCAGAGATATTCTCATTGTGCCCAGAGAGAAACACCTGCCTCTACCCAGGATCAAACTCTCACAGCCTCCTGATTGTGAGGCAAGAGCTCCACCGCTGCACTACTCCCCCAGTTGCACTTATATCCCCCCCCCCAAAAAAACTAGTGGCTCCACTGGTATGGGACTACAGCTCCCAAAATTCCCAGCCATTCCAAACTGAGAATTCTGGGAACGGCAGCCCCCAAACATCTGGAGGGCAGCTGAGAACGGCAAGCTACCGAAACGAAAACGCGTCTTTTCCAAATCCTTTTATTCTCCGCTCACCCAAAATCTGGACTTCCATCCGATTGATGCACTTTTTTTTTTCTTCATTAGAAGAAGAATTTTTTTAAAAAAAATCATTAGAATCCGTTAGATCAAGGGCAAGAATTGAGGACTTCTTGAAAATACCTGCTTGGGTTAGAATGAGCAAGTTTCTAGACCTCGTTGTCCCTGAGAAATCGTCAGGTGCATTTCATACAGAGCGAGGCAGGAAGCAACCTCTTTTAAGCTTGATTCCCTTCCGGCGTTATTATTTAATAGTTTCGAATTGTTTAGAGGATGCAAGGAGGGATTCCTCGCCCAGCGTTAACAACCATCAGTGTCAAGTTTTCCTAATTTTGGAACAGGCCACAGCTGTCCAATCTTGGCCGCTTTTAAGACCGGTGGACTTCAGCGCCCAGAATTCCCCAGCCCGCTGTGCCAAAGCTGGACACCCTGGTGTAAATCGTCCCTTCTGATAATAAAGATAATTTCCTGATTTCTGGCACACATTTCAGGGAGGATGGCAAGAACAGCCTAGGCCAGGGATGGCGAACCTTTTTGGTGTGGTGTGCCAAAAAGTGCGTGCGTGCGTGCGTGCCGGCACCCATAATGCAATGCGTCCCGCGCATGCACACGCACCGCCACCACCCTGCCCCCTTACTTGCACTGGGCATGCACGCACCTCCCAGTTGATTTTCGGCCCGTTTGAGGCCTTTTTCAGCCTCAAATACTGGAAGTGGATGAAACGGACCAGTTTTTCGGCCTCCCGAGGCTGCAGAGGCTTCCCTTGAGCCTCTGCGAGGGCTAAAAAGGCCTCAAATGATCTGAAAATCGGCTCGTAGGCGCGCACGTGCGCAGTGCAGGTAAGCTTGGCTGGGGCTCGCATGCCCACACGAATGGCTCCGTGCCATAGGTTCGCCATCACGGGCCTAGGCACACAATTTTCCTTAACTATCTTAGAAGATCCAAGTCCAGTTATATCCCCCTTTCTGTTCCCCCCCCCCCCAAAAAAACCCCTCATTTTGTAAAATTGTGTGACTCTTTTGAGAGTTTATGAACCTTAGGGAATCCAACCCGGATTCATAGACGCATTTGTACACTAAATATATATATATATATATTAAATTCTGCAGCAGAATTGTTTTTTTTTTTTTTAAAAGAAAAGGACAAAAGAAAAACAAAAGTCGCCGGGGTTTTATTTTGTAAGCTCTATTTTTGTATGTTTAATTGCTATTTTAAAATTCTAATGCATCTTTTTTGCTAATCCCTCTCTTCTTAAAAAACAAAAAACAAAAAAAACCAAAATAAGAAAACACCCAAACGGGGCGGGGGAGGGGCGGGGGGCATTCGCATGTGATTTGACTTGAAATGTAAATAAAAGCAAATTTTGGACATCACCGAGTTGAAGGATCTGTACAGCAAAGGCGCTTGGGATCATCCGCCGGGGATCATCATCTTCCTCCGGTTGTGGGAAGAGGAGGAGGAGGAGGAAGAGGAGGAGGTTCTGCTCCATGGAGACTTCGGACAAAAACGTTTCCCAGTGTAGTAACGTAGTTGTAAGCAGGGGGGAGAAAGGAGGGGAATTCTACACGCAAACGTAGCTGTAATACAGGTAGTCCTTGAGTCACAGCCCGGAATAGAGCCCAACGATTGCGTTGCTAAGTGAGAAAACGTGTTAAAAGTGAGTTTGGGGCCGTTTTGTGACTTTTCTCGCCACGTTCGTGTAAAGCGAATCACTGCGGTTGCTAAGTGAGTAACACGGTCGTTAAGTGGATTGGGCTTTCCCCTCCCCATGGACTTTGCTGGTCATAAGTCACAATGAGAAGGTTGCAACTGTCGTAACTATGAGTCATTCGCCACAAGCGCCTGGAATGTTAATCACATGACCCCCTTCTCCAGCTGGGTTAGAACGGTGTGTGTGTGTCTGTGCGTAAGCAACTGGCCATTAGGGGGTCTCTTGTATTTGGTTTTCCAGTCACCTGGCCCCGCCCACCCAGTCATGTGACCACCAAGCCACACCTAGCCGGTCACATGACACCAATCCACGCCCACAAATTAAGCCACGCCCACAGAAACGGTGGTTAAAAAACTTGAATCCCACCTCTGGGATGCTGCAACAGTTATAAGTATGAGAGATGGTCCTAAGTCCCGATTTTCAGTGCCGTTGAGTGAACTTCGGTCACTAAACGAATGCTGTAAGTGCGAGGACTGCCTATATATTCTCAGCAGAGAACACAGATTTCATTCATTAACCGGCTTAAGCACCTTGTGTGAACCTTGCAAAATGCCTTCCTCTTCCCTCCCTGGCTGGGTTTTCCCTACGGGTCCATTCCTTGTATGAAGAATAGAGCTGGAAGGGACCTTGGAGGTCTTCTAGTCCAGCCCCCTGCTCAAGCAGGAGACCCTCTACCATTTCAGACAAAGGGCTGCCTGGTCTCTTCTTAAAAAGCCTCCAGGGATGAAGCACCCCCAACCTCCGGTGGCAGGCGGTTCCCCTGGTTCCTTGTCCTTCCTGACAGGAAAATTCCTCCTCAGTTCTAAGTTGGTTCTCTTCTTGGTTGGTTTCCATCCGTTGCCTCTTGTCCTGGATTCAAAGGCTTTGGAGAAGAGCTTGACCCCCTTCCTCCTCTCTGGGGCACCCCCTAAAATATTGGAAGGCTGCTATCATGTCGCACCCTGGTCCTCCTTTCCTGTAGCCTTTTGGACCTCAGGGACCACCAAACTTTTAAATCCCACTAATGAGGACCAGTAATATGAATTTTGACTGGTGGTGGCTTGCTGACATTGGTGGGAGAGAGAGAGAGAGAGGGAGGGAGGGAGACTGATCTGATCTAAGCTTTCTCCCCCCCCCCCCACACACACTCAAACACACAGGAAGGGGTAGGATTCAAATTTCTGAACAACCGGTTCTGTGGGCGTGGCCTAATTTGTGGGTGTGGCCTGGTAATCATTTGACTGGCCGGACATGGCTTGTATGTAAACATAAACATTTATGTAAATATTGATTTTTTTTTTTATAAAATAAAGAGCAACTTTTAGCCAAAATCAGGCAAAGCGGGCAGGCAGATGGAGTTGCTCCCAGAATCGCAGATTCACTCAGAGATCCACCTTTCTGCAATCTGCTACCTGAGTCTGCACTGAATAATGGAAACTTCCGTCCTAAGGAAGGTTCAGCTCTGCTTAAAAGCAAAGCCGAAGACATAAAGATAAGCAAGAAAGCAAGAAATGCAACCATTTCCTGCTTCCTAGCTGGTCTAAATCTCCCAGCACAGCAGAACAGCTGATGGTCAGGGGGGGAAAAAAAGGAAAAAATAGCAACTTAGCAGGCAAGTTTGCCAGGGAAGGACTGAGTAGGCAGGGAGGGTTCCCGCAGGCCATGTGGGCGGCACAGCCTTGTGTTCCCACGTAGCCTGGATTGCTTTGCGGGGGGGGGGGTGCTCTGGGGGTGGTGACATTTCTCTGCAGACCACCAAAATTTTCTCGCAGACCACCAAAATTTTCTCGCGGCCCACCGCTTGGCAACCACTGCTCTAGACTGGCTAAAGTGCTCCAAGTGCATTTGCAACCACTTGCAGAAAGTCGGACGATGTGCAAACTAGGCCGGCCGTTGGAAGCACCTGGAACACTTTCAAATCTGGGGGGGGGAGGTGGGGGGAGAGAGAGGCCGTGTTTAGCATCACCCGTTTGCAGGAACACTTGGCGAGCTCCTTATTTGGACGCTTGCCTTACACATACTTTGCACAGAGCTGTCGACCGGGCAAGTACAAGTGTGTTTCTTGCACTCCTCCCATAGGCAGCCCCAGGGCAGTTCCTGGAACATCAGGTAGTCCTCAATGTACGACAATCCAGCCCCAACCTTGCACTGCTAGGGAAGACAGTTAAGTGAGGTTTGCCCAATTCGGCTACCTCTTTTTGCCACCATTGCAGTTACTAAGGGAGTATTTTAGAGTAGAACAGAGCTGGAAGGGACCTTAGAGGTCTTCTAGTCGAGCCCCCTGCTCAGGAAGGAGGGCCCTATAGTACCGTCTGAGACAAGTGATGGTCTTCTTAACAACCTCCAGTAAGAGTCGCCCAAGTTATTAAGCGAATCTGGCTTGGATTTTGCTTGTCTGAAGGCCGCAAAAGTGGGTTGCCCTTGGGGACATGCAACCGTCGTAAGTACTTGCCAGTTGCCAAGAGTCTTGAATTCTGATCGCGGAGCCACGGGGAGGCTGCAACGATTGCGATTGTGGAAAAATGGTCACAGATCGCTTTTTTTTTCCCCCTTCCCAGTGCCGTGGTCCCTTTGAGCGGGATAAATAAAAGCAACTGTTGTAAGTCAAGGACTATTCTGTACTCTTCAGGAAGTGAAGAAACGGTTGGCTTCTAGGCCGAGCAAGATCTCTATTCCAAGGGTCGCCAACCTTTTGGACCTCAGGGACCACCAAACTCATCATTTTACATCCCGCGGAGCAGAGACCCTGTGAAAAATCCCCCCCAAAAGTCTGCAGGAAAATCCCCCACCCCATTTTCCTACTGATCGATCATTCTTTATTTGGGATCGCAGGAGACCGTCTCCAGCTCTGTTCTCAGGGAGAGAGAGAGAGAGAGAGAAAGGGAGAGACTTTTGGCTTCATGCAAGGAAAACAGCAGCAGCAGCAGAAGTCTTTCTTTCTCTCCCTCAAACGCCACCAGAAACGAGCCTTTGTGAGAATTGTCGCAGTGGCGCAGCCTCTTGGAGCAGGAGGCCAGGACTCATTTCTGGCGGAGTTTGGGGAAGAGAAAGAAAGACGTTGGCTGCTTTTCCTTGCGGGCAGCCGAAAGCAGAAGAAGCGGAAAGAAGCAGCCCGGTGGCCAGGCCAGGCGCGCGGGGCAAGTTCTCCCTCTTCCCCCCCCTCCCCTCACTACTTTGTGTTGTTTGCAATGCAAGCGACGCAAGCCTTGTGTTCCCGCGGGCCATGTGGGCGGCGCAGCCTTGGGTTCCCGCACAGCCTGGATTAATTGCTTTTGGGGGGGGGGACATTTCTTTGCGGACCACCAGAATTTTCTCAGAGAGCACCAGTGGTCCCCGGCCGACCGGTTGGCAACTACTATTCTAAGGAGTCTCCTGTAAAAAAGCTGCAACGGTTCCCCAGTCTTAAAATCCGCCTTTGGGGCAACTGATTTTGTAATTGAAGTAATCCTCAACTTACAACCTCTTTTTTTGTTTGTTTATTAGTGACCAAAATTACAACGGCACTGAAAAAGAGCAACTTATGACCATTTTTCACACTTATGACCATTGCAGCATCCTCAAGATCACGTGGTCAAAATTGAGATGCTCAGATACCGACTCTTATTTTATGATGGGTCGCAGTGTGTCCCAGGGGTCACATGATCCCCTTTTACGACCGTCTGACGAGGAAAGTCACCAGGAGGAAGCCAGATTCACAACAACCGTGTCAACTGCAGAGATTCACTTAATGGTGCCAAAGAAGGTCGTAAAATGGAGCAACACTTTATCATCTCTCGCTTAGCAATAGAGATGACTGGGCTCATTTGTGGTCATAAGTTGGAGGTTCTCCCTCTACTTATAATCAATTATCTTTCTATTACTATTTGAACTTGACCAATATTTGTATATTTGAAAAATATCTGAACTTGAAAAAAGCACCAAAAACTGCGTCATTCGAGGCTGTTTGGAAAGGACCAGCCTGCCCCCTACAGGCCAAGGATGGAAAGAGTTGAGCTCCAACAAGTACAGGTCGTCCTCCACTTACAACAGTTCATTTAGTGACCGTTCAAAGTTGCAAGATCGCTTTAAAAAAGGGGACTCGTGACCATTTTTCACACTTGTAGCCGGTCTGCCATCCCCAAGGTCACATATTCAAAATTCGGAGTCCCCATTCAGCTGGGCAACCAACTCGGGAGGCGAAGGGGAGCCAGACTCGCCGAACGACAGGGTTATGAACTTGAACGACTGCAACGACTCGCCTAAAAGACTGCGTCAAGAAAGGTCGTAAAATGGGGCAAAACGTTATCTCGCTTAAGTGGCAGGACATTTGGGGCTCAATTGTGATCGAGGACCGACCTGTATAGAACTGGGCTGTGAATCTATATATATATATATATATATATATATGTAAAAGCGAAGTTACCCTTCAAGCATCATCACAAAATCTCCAGAACCGTAAAGCCTACAGAACTCAAAATTGGGCCCATAGGTTCCTCTTGGCTTCTAGGGGCTCCCTAAGAAAGGATTTTTCCAAATGACCCTCAGCGCATTTAGAGTATTTCCTATATTATTATTATTATTATTATTATTATTATTATTATTATTATTATTAACACACTCTGATGCTAAGGAGTTCGACTCCCCCTCCACACCTGAAAAGAAACCTGTTCCAAAGGCAAAACACAAGCAGAGGAGTTTTACTCTCAGTTTCACAGCAGCACCAAGCAGCTTTAGGACAGAACAGTTGAGCTAAGCCCTGCCCAGGCTCCTTGCTGTCTCCTTCTTGCTCACACAGCAAATACTGTTTCAGTTTTCTCACCCACTGACAGGACGCTAGCCAGATGAATCCCGATGGACGCTGGCAGGCAGAGGCAGAATTTTTATCCCCTTATTTTCCTCCCAAAAAACTAAGCCTCACCACATAGTTTCATAGTGAAGCACGGCTACAGAGCTAGTTCAATATATTTGTATCTTACTTTTAGCCTGCTTTTAAACAAGATTGACTCGTCCAGGGAAACTACGAAGAGGCCTAACAGGTTGTGTGCCTGGGTGGAATGTGATATTTGCTCCAATCCACACCGACATCGAATCTGTCCCACCTCTGCTCCGCAGGTGGTGTGTAAATGGTCTCCGTGAATCAAAGAAAAAGGCAATTGTCACTAAATTGATATTTGAGGGTAGACAAGATAGGAAACCCCTTGCAGGAGGCAGCAAGGGCAAAGCCATTTCTTTGTGTTTCTCTAAATCTAAATGATCGATTGTGGAGGCTGGCAACAGCGATGAAGAGGCCCCCGAGGAGCCTGTGCCCCGTGCATGCGCACGCAGGGCTGCCTGAAGGAAAGAGCAGCTGCAGCAGCACGGGCGACTCGGGAGTAAGGCTGCAGGGTAATGGCTTCTCCCTGAGGAGATAAAAGCCAGCTGAGAAACCGGAGTTCTTTGCAGGAAGCAAAGACGTTTTTGCACTCAAGCCTGGTGGACGTTTGGATGATCTTGGTGTTTGGAGACTCTTTGGGTTTGAAATATTTCTTGGCAACTTTATCTCGTGTTCTTGGCAGCCTCTCACCACCTTGGCAAGGCTCGTTTTTATCTGGGACAATTAGTTTGAAACAGCCTTTTAACAGGGAGGGAACAGAATTCGTAAAGAAACATTAAAAGGTTGTGCTGTTAACTTTGTCTCGTGTTTGTTTCCTTGGAACCAGGTTTGGGTCAGAACAAGTTAACTTAGCGACCGA